TTCACCGCCAACACCCCGTACCTCCAACCCACATGCGCAGGGGCACTATTCCTTCTGCGGCAATACAGCGGCCTCGGTGGGGTGCCCCATTTACGGTCTTGCGTGCAGCGCACACAACCGTCGCCGGTGCCAGCCTGCTGCAGACAGCTGCTTGTGTTGGGGCTGTGCCTTGCCGACAGAGAGATTCTGCCCGTATGATTGCCACCACAGGCCGCGTTGCCCGTTCCTCTGACAAACGGAAATCCCGAAGCTCCAACAATACGTGTATATATTATATATGCACATACTCCCTCCCCCATGTTCGTTGCCGGCTGTTATTTTATTTCATCTGCCAGTTTCTCACCGATCGGTGCGCCGAGAACCACACCTCGCCGCCACACCTCCCTCTGCCACCGAGGGGACGTCTTCACCACTCCGTGAAATGCGCCCTCGCCGCGCCACGGCTGCGTGCCCAATCCCAACGAAAAGAATAATTCCCAGCACCCGAAAAGGCAATCGACCCCACCGCACCCACCGCCGCAAAGAACCAACCAAAAGACTCACCAAAAAATAAATAAATAAATAATAATAATAATAATAAATATGCCTCCAGATGAGGCCATATGGCTCCCACTCCTAAAAAGCGAAGGATGCACAATGGGGCGATCGCAGTTTGGCTCGGTGCGACCAGCACCCAGCACACCACCCAAACCAACAAGTTCACACGCCACCCCCCTCGACAGCCAGGCTCCCGCTGCCGACCCAACAACCAGCAGTCGGTGGGCCCCGCAACCACACGACTCCCTTCCGCATTGGAGGGTGTCATTATTACCATAAGTTGCAGTGGAGGGTTGTGGCGTGGAAGAACTCACAATAAAAAATAAAAACACTCGCGCTTCTCCCCAATGCGGCACCGCTGAAAGCTAAAAAACACGTCATCCGCCAAGCAAGCAGGGGAGCCACACTCCCCTCACCGCCTTCTCTCAGCAAAGCACCCCGCCCCCGCTGCAAGACACACGAGGAAGCCGCCACTCCGCCCACTACACCAACCACAATAATAATACAACTCGCCTCTCCCCCACTCCCAGCCATGCCGCCACCCTTCCTCCCCACCAAGAAAGAAACGCACTGAAAGAATGTCTTGAAACGAGACAAACCCATACAACACCATGTAACTCAACACAGAAGCAGGGCGGAGGAGTCCCAAACACACTCCACGCCCCTGTCACTTATCCTGAGTGGTCTTTGCTGGCAGCAACAACCAGCTGGGCAGCCAGCTCCGTGTCAAGCTGCACCTGGTACTGCTCCACCCTTCTCTCCCAAAAGTCTCTGGCAACCTGAAGTCTCGGCACCTCCTTCTCTCCCTCCGTGACATGGCAATCCCGCCTTCCCGTCATCAGCGTGCTCTCAGCGTGCTGGATGTAAATGATCTCCCACCTCATCTTTTCCCTCAGCGCCTCCCAGCCCTTGAAGTTGCACGTCATGTACTTCGGAAACGCAGCCACCTTACCGGCAGTGGTGTGGTGGGTGTTGTGTTTTGCCACCCGCAGCCCAATGAACGTCACTCCCCTTTCCGCACCGCTGTGCCCATCTGCAGGAATATTGTCAGCCCACCTGGGGTCCACTGTGGCAGTTTCCGTTGGTTGCACCCCGACCACGTAGAACGCGTCCAGCACGGGGAAAATCACTTGTTGGGCATATACAGAACGCCGGCTTGAAGTTCAGTCTGGATTATTACTCTTCTATTATCTCCACCTGCCATGCACCCGACCACGCAGGGGGGCCTTGGAAAGCGGCCCACCGCATGCCCGTCCGCCAACACGCTGGCCCGCGTTCCTCCCTCGCTGCGGGAAAGGTGCTTCACCTTGCGAGCAACCGCTTCGGCGACGTCGCTGATCAGAAACGCCACACAGCCTAAGCACTCAATATCATCAGCTGCAGACCTACTCCACGTTCCCACAACAGACAGCAGGCAGGACATCCTAAAGTTCTTCATTAGCACCCGCCTCCGCAATGTTCTTTTTGATCTCAACTGAAATGGGAAAATTCCTGCAGCTTTCCGCGTCCTCTCCATTCCCCGCATTGGGCCTCACCACCACCGACGCATCCCTCACCACGCGCTCCTCCTCAACACACGCACCACCTTGATCAGCTTGTCCGCGGTCCCGTCCTCGCCCCACTCAGCCTTGCCAAACACTTTTTTTGCAAAGCGCACCAAGTCTGCGTCAGACGCGTTGGACAGCACCCAGTCAATTGCGCTACGGCGCCCCGAGTAATGGTCCTCATCAAAAACATAGCGAGGGAGCGGTCCAAGCACACAAATACGGTCCTTCATCCTCTGTCACCTCTCCTCAAGCTCTGCTCTATCCTCACTGCTTCCCTGCGAGCCACGCAGCAAATCACGCTCCTGCCAAGCAAAGAACGCCTTTATCTCTCGTGCATCGTAGCCGTTCACAAAAATGTTAAACGCATTCCGTTGTTTCTTCCACCCCTCATAGTTGCTTGCATCAGGCGTATTCAACACAATTCCGCCCCACCACTTCTCACGCAGCCCCACCACAACTCGATGGTCCTTAGTCACATCAAAAATAAAGTAACCCCCTACGTTAGCCCTTTCTAACTCTTTGATGGCCCACAAACCTTCACTGGTGCTTTTATATTTCACTGCTGTCCCTGTCATTTCTCCCGTTTTGTGGAAAAGGCACACTGACCCTCCCACAAAGTAGGCCACCACCGTGACCCTCGCGGCGTCGTAGTGCAGGAGCTCGTGCAGCACAAAGAACCCCATCGCCAGCGACTTGCCAATGCCCGCTGTTCCAACCACAACGTACGACCGCCTTATGTCCGTACGACCATCATCAGGGGTCCAGTTGTTGATGCCTCACTTAATGACGTTCCACACACAAGCATCACCTCCCTGCGCACAAACACCTCCATCACCACATTTTGGTCTTCGCCCACTACTCTGTTGGGGCCAACGTACTGCCGAAGGAAGTCGTTCGGCAAAGTTATATTGATCTGGTCAACCCGCACATTACGGGCATCCTCGATAGAGCTTGCAAGCGTCCACCTTGACCGCTACGGCGCTCGTTCCACCCTTCGGCGCTGTGCGAGGGCTCCTCGGTGGCGTGAAATTCTTCCTCGCGTCTCTCAGACATGTTTTCCTTCGTAGTGGTTAACTTGAGTTGAACTGCAGCACAATACTCAACCAGCAGTCAAAAGGGAGAATGAAATTATTTAAAAAAAAAACAGGCAGAGACACGACTCCACGCAGCCGCAACACAAACAAGAGAGAGGGGGCCACCGACACACACGGCACGCGGCACCCCCACCTATACACAAACAACGAGGGCAAATTAGATCTCCCTAGGCAAACCGTGCGAATTGCACAGCACACACGACACCTGCGACAAGGTTTCTCCCTTCTCGTATTGCACATGACATTCGGATCCCGACAACTCCGTGTATGCGTAGTCACACGCAAACATCACCCACTCACAGTGAACTTAACTGCCTCGTCGCGGTGGCATTTTGTGCCGCAATCCACTGTGGTGCGAAGGAACAGAACACCCACCCCGCCGGCCACACGCCCACACACGGGAAGTGGGCACGCATCCATCGAATGACGCGGCACCCGCACCGCACCGCCAGCACCAACTACGAAGGAATCATCCACGTACCCTGCGGTATGTAAATGCACCGTGGGCAGTGTGGCCGTGTGTGTGTGTGTGCCTGCAGCTACGCAACGCAAAGAGGGAGAAGAGCAAAGCATGAGAGAGGGCACACGCAGAAACACACACGCAGCAGAGAGGCGGGACGGAAAGGCGGCGAACGGAGACAACTGAGGCTGGAGGTGGCGCCGCAGCCCAAGCGGCAGCCACGGAAAATATAACGAAAAGCAAAAAAAAAAAAAGTAAAACTTCCTGCATTATGCATAA